TATATATATATATATACACATATATATACACACACACACATACCGTGTTTCCCTGGTTTCCCTGAAAATAAGACACCGTCTTATATATTTTTTGACTCAAAAAAAAAAAATCACACTAGGTCTTATTTTCAGGCTAGGTCTTATTTTTTTTATTTTTTTTAATGTACAACAATCCACACTTATTCATGTACAACAGTCTATGTGTATTCATGTACAAAAATATGGTGATCAGGGGGTGCCGCACATTTCCAAAAGCAATTTGCTAACCAATCGCTGGCCAGAATGAGCAAAGCACACTTTCACTATTGATTCCTCACAGGCAGAGTGCATTTGGTATCACTCCGCCTGTGACAGGAGTCGGCGCTATAGAGGAGTCATCGGCTTATGCGGCTCTGCTCCCTCCGCTTATATATATCTATAGATATATATAGATATATATAGACACACACACACAAAGGTATTGATGTTTGACTGCTCATATTTGTTTAATCTTCTTTCCTGATTGTTCGGTGTATTGTGCAGTGATAACCCCTTTGCTATTTCATGTCCCAGTGTCACTGGGCTTTTTTTTTTTACAGAAAGGGAAAAAGATCAGACAGACAGAAAAAAAACACTTAACAGAAAAATGTTTCCTTACTCCTATTCTGTCATTATAAACCACTGGAAAAAACATGCCATTACACTGCATGGCCACCAACACAGCATAACGCACTACATCTTCACGATCGCGAACAGTGTGAATGGGGCCTTACTAAGCTGCTCTTCTTGGATGCAGTAAAAATTCTTAGGGCCAAATGACACATTGCATTGCTGGTCTCTGGTATTTAATTTTATTTGTGTCTCTAAATAAAAATAATTTTATAGTCCAAATGTTACATTTTTGTTTCTACGTAAATAAACAGATCATTATATCATGAGTCAGTAACACAATGAGTTAGACCACAAAATTGTGTTCAATAAGAACAAACTCCAAGGGAAAGTTTAAATGCCAACATTTCAGGCATCCATGGTGCTTGTTTGTATTTTGTGTTTGAGGAAGGAGCTGTGTAGCTATATGTTGTGCTTGCCAAGCCTCCCTGGGAGGCCTCATTCACACAGCTATTTGGAGGGCTTTCAGTATGACTGTGTAATCATTTCTAATTCTGCTTGGAACGGTTATGCCTGAGGATTGGAGACTAGCTGTTTACTTTTTAAGGAGCTACAAATTAGAAATGTGCTTATAAGTGTGCATGGGGAGGTCTCTTTAAAGCTACATATTATAGGCTCCTGTTGATCTGGCAGACCCCTGCAGCGGGTCCTGAAGCTCCATGCCTTTGTTGGCTGCCTTTCGATTAGCAGAAAATGGCACATAAGACTGGTGGAGGGGAAAACCTGCCACTGAAAAGGCTTGGTTTGAAGATGGTTCCACCGTTTACTGAGACGTTAAACCACAAAACACACTGCAAGGCTGAAATAAAGTACTTACTGCTGCCAGCTTGTCAAATCGTGCAAAGAGTTCATTCAAAGTCATAACTAGCTCTTGAGCTGTACATTGCGATGCCAGGCTGGTAAAGCCCTCAATATCAGCAAACAGGATACTGAACAATAAAAAAATAAGATGTTAGCACTGCTGAGGCATGAATTATAATTTTATATAAAACACAGATCCTGATAAAAGAACAAAACCCATTTTACAAAAGTACAAGATAAAATACCCAATAATTTAAAGATGAACTCTGGGAATTTAAAACACTAACCCTTTTAGTGGGGGCTACCCCCGCACTGCAAGGGTTAAGTGCTTGTTTTGTCTAGGGGACTCAAATAAAGCTGTTTTACCCACCTGATCCAGCTCCTGCGGCTGTCATTGCTCACCTCTCTTCCCCCTCTGCTCCTGCAGTGAAATGTGCCTTGGTATTATCACGTCTAATGCAATCCGGCCCTGCATTAAACTACATAAGTCGTGATGACATCAGCAGTCTTTAGACCACTCTAGCCCAGGGGAGAAGAGGCTGCGAGAACTGGTCTCGCAGCCCAGCAGGACTGTGGATTAGGTAAGTATATCTGCTTTATTTGAACCCCCTAGATCCAGGGGTCAGCAACCTGTAGCTCCGGAGCCGCATGTGGCTCTTTCATCCCTCTGCTGCGGCTCCCTGTCCAGGTGTTCAGTCCTGAAACAGCTGTTCCGTCCTGAAATGTCACTTCTATCCGACTTTGTGAGTGGGGTGGAATGTGAGATCGCACTCACAGAGTCAGATAGAAGTGACATTGTGAGGGGTCTGGGCAGCCTGAGGGGCCTCTTACATGAGTATCAGCTGTACCAGGGGCGGCATGGCAAAGGTGACAGGGGAGGGGGTGGAGGAGGCCAGGCCCCAGCAGCTGCAGGTAAGAGGAGTTGGGAGGAAGTACAGTGAAAGGGACCCCGGCAACCAGTCCACGTGAGGCCCTGCAGAGCCCACCATAGAGAATCTCAGATGGGCTGTGCAGGATCTATGGTGTGCTCTGTAGGGTCATTCTCAGGTGGGCTGTGCGGGGGTCTTAGGTAAGCCCCGAGTCCAGTGCGTTACTAAGCCCAGAGTCCAGTGCGTTAGTAAGCCCGGAGTCCAGTCAGAGTCCAGTGTGTTACTAAGCCCAGAGTCCAGTGTGTTACTAAGCCCAGAGTCCAGTGCGTTACTAAGCCCACATATACCTATATACATGCTATACATAGCATAAAGGTAAAAAACAATATATGCAGTGTTATCTTCATTTTAGATGTCAAAAGGTTTTTGTGGCTCCCGGTGTTTTCTTTTCTGTGGGAAACGGGTCCAAATGGCTCTTTGAGTGTTTAAGGTTGCTGACCCCTGCCCTAGACAATACAAGCACTTAACCCTAGCAGTGCGCATGGTTTTTTAAATTCCAGAAGTTCTTCTTTAATTAGTCTACCAAAATTATTAATTTAAAAAAAGTATAAATAAGGTAGCTAATTTGCCTCTGCTGCTTATCAGGTAACCACCAAATCAAATGCACTATTTATTAAAGGAGAACTATGAGGTGAGTGCTTTTCACTCACCTCATAGTTCTAGCCGACCTGTAACAATGAAACTGTCACAGGTCGGCTCAGTAGATCGGGAAGTGAGCGAACACATACCGGCGTTCGCTCACCTCTCGATCCTGTCACAGCTCTCTGCCGTGACAGGGGAGGGGCTGGATTCCCCCCTCCCCGCTCCGCCAGCGCTGACTGTCGGAACGGACCGGGGAAGGGGTGGGTACAGCTGGCTCTGCCTCTAGATAGGCAGAGCAGCTGGGCAGATCCCGGCTCAATTGTCGGGATCCGCTTCAGCTGTGGCGTCTCAGTATACCGCGAGCAGCAGTATACTGAGCCTAGGGTGACGGGAGGACGCTAGTTTGTGTCCTCCCGTTACCCTAAGGAGAACTATGGGGAAAAGCCTTAACCCCATAGTTCTCCTTTAACATTACACATATTTTCGTACATTGCACAATAATGTAGCTATATGCAGGGCCAGATTTACTCTCTCTCTGCAGCCCCAAGGCCAGGTCCCTCAAGGCGCCCCTCTAGCCACCAAAAAGCCCACCCCCCCATGGAGATTGGCAGACCTGCAGGCTGCATACAAAAACAAGCGGCGGCTTCCCCGCTGTACATTTAGCTCTGCTTGCCCAAAGCAGGGCTAAATGTAGAAAACTACCCGCCCGAAACTGCATGTCCCAAGCATCGGGAGATAGGAATTCCATATCCCTGCTGCCCCTCTAGTCCCTGCTGTCCATCGGCCGGGCCTTGGTTGGCCTTGTGGGAAATCTGGCCCTGGCTATATGCTGCTAGTTTTAATAAAGCCTAAAGAGCAGAACGCAAAGCAAAAGAGTCCTCACCTGCCCCTGTCCGTCTAAAGCTGGCCATACACTGGTAGATTTTTGTACGAACGTTCATACCAAAAATATAATCAGAATATTTGATAATGCCATCAGAATATTGACAAATGTTTTAAAATTTTGTTTTTAACATTTGATTGTGGAATGGATGGAGTTTCCATAACTAAAACCACATTCATGGTTAGAATTTTGTTTGAAAAAAATGTCCAACCTGCTCTTTTTTTTTGCATCAATATAGTCGAAATCGATTCCTTATCTGCCCCCATTAACTATTAGAAAGTCTAACAAACATTCCGAAAAATACTTTAACAAAACTTTACTGGCGTATGGCCAGCTTAAAGTGGAACTACAAACTCCTATCCATTACAGCCAAATAAGGTGCCATCTTGGCCTCTATTTGGATTGCAGTTGCCATGGCGCTGCACACATGATCAACTGTTGACGCCAGCCATTTGAGCTGGTTGAGAGCTGTAATAAGCACACTGACAACCTTGGCAGTTGACATGTCTTAAAAGTAACTGTTTGGAAAGACATTAAACTGGTGGGTCAAGTTCCTCTTTAAGTGTTTAAGTTCAATGTATACTTACATTTAATTATTTGACTAATACATTATAATTTAATTAAATGAATACACAACTGGATTATAAATTGATTAATATCAGCTTGTATCAGTCAGTTTATCTTTAATATTTAAAAAAATAAACATTACCTGACGTTGTCATGTTTCTGTATGTAGATTTTGTGGAACATCATGTCTTCCTTTTTGGTGTTAATATCCTCTTTCATTTCCATTGCCACATGACGTGGTAAAACAGACAGCAGGAGGCGCTCCTGCATGGTTAAAGAGAGAACATCATTTATGCCATCCAAGCACAAATTTTTATAATGGGATTCCATGATAATGGTCAAGATTATATGTGATCACACCAATATAATGTATAGCTTGTATTCCAGACAGAGTAGAATACTGATGTACTCATCTGATAAACCTATACTAACATGGGCCTAGTGCCAAACAAAATATTGCTGCGTATTCCACAAGCTAACATTTAGGTCAACAAGCACGTGCTTTGCACCTCATGCTAACTCGCCAATTATGCTGCAAGCTCACAGACAGATTGGCATACATGTGTCGTTTCTTCACACTGCAGCTTGTTACTTTTACGCCCGCCCAATGTAGCACATGTGGGTGATATGGACAATAAGTGCTGGACTAATATGGACTAACCTGCTGCTGGTTTTCCCTCTGCAGATGCAGCCTGGCTTGGATGTAACCTCGTGTTTCTTGGAAGGCCTGTCTTTGGGAAACCTCTGCAGGGTAGTGGGTACAAATACCAATGATGTTTGTGCAGAGGAAGATCAGCACGTTGGCACTTAGCTAGAAAGAAAAGATTAAAGAGCTTTAAAAATCCAATGTATGCAAGTACAGTATATATATTCAATTCACAAGTATATACACTTCACTAGGTAAAACTTAAATAATATAAACTTACATGGCATTAAATGGTATGTCTTTCACCCTGAAGTGACTAGAAATCCTACAGACAAAATGTCAAATGTTAATCTAACTACAGCAGTCCTGAAGGTGCACGATAGCTTTATTTAGGAAAGACCAAATAAAATTGCTACAGTGAGCTAAAAAATATATCAAGGAGAAAATAGATTTCTTTAGTGTAAATAAACTCATCTGTAATTCACTCTTGCCGATTACTGCACACCAATAGGGTTTGTACAATGACTGACTTTTTTGCTGCCCAAGAGAATTTTATAGCATATTCATCATTACTTCAACATCATCATACCTTCTTTCCAAATACTGATACCAAGAAAAAGCTACTCAACTATACACATTATACACAGTTAATGTTGTACACCATCTCACATATCTGGATGACAACTGGGCAATGTATGGTGTGGAAACAACAATATCCATCCTTGTTTCCTTCTTAAGCTGAACTCCAGGAAACCAGCTAAATATACATACATATATGTCAGCTGGTTTACCTGCGACAGAATTTAAATTTCTGTTTGTTAATTTCTGAGATTTTTACAGCCCTGAAGAACAACATAAACAGACAGGAGACCTGAAATTTCAATACTTTAGTAGTTATACAGCTAATATAGTAATTCTTAAACATTTGGGTTATAATGCCGCCTTCAGGAGGTTTGGACACTGGCAAATAAAAAGCATTAAGCCAGCCCTCATATAATCTCCATTTCCAACCATCACACCTCAGTTTTGTGGGCAAGCAGTACATAGAGCCAATAACACAGAGGGGTGGGACCCGTATTTATCAATAGCTAGAAAAAGATTCTACAAAAGTACAAAAATCTTATTTTCATTGAGGGACAAAGGAATGTAGTATTTCTTATACATTTGGAATGTCCAAAAGCAGTCCAACTGAGGGCAGGGCAATCACCACTAAGAAAACCAACTAAGAAAAAAAATCTTACAATAAAAGATTATCTGAAAGAATCAGTGCATGAACGAAGGCTAGATAAAGAAGAGCTATGGCAAATATAAAATTTGCCGAAACTGAGGAAGGGCAACGAGAATCAACCAGGTGTTCCAGACCAAGACAGGTAATCACCACTAAAGAGAAACTTCTAACTGAAACAATGATGGACCTCAATAATATTGTGGTGGACAACCAATCACTGACCATAAGAAACCGGTGGAACATCATACTACCTGAACAAGAGGAAGAACTGGGACCAACAGCTAAGGTGGTCAACTTAAAAGGATGCTTAATTAGGGTAAAAGCCAAAGCCTAGGAACAGGAAAGTTGGACAAACAAGGAATTTTCACAGCCAAAAACCAACCAGTTAGCACCCATTGGCTTAGGTAGAACACCCTTAACTTAATGCAGGGATATTAACATTGTTGATAATATGAAGAATGTATGAAGAATGTAAATAATCTCTCAAAGAAAATTGCTTGGATATGACAGCCCTCTGAGAAGCCGTCTAAACGGAGAGAAGGAGGCTGGAACAAAGAAGGATAGCATCCTAAACCCCTTAACGGGTGAGGAGAGGATATATTGTAATCTCGCAGGTGTACATGGACATCAAAAATGATGGGTCCGTCCAACTCACTCCCATGGGTGTTTCTGGGATGTGGTAGCTGCACCACAACCTACCTGATCAAACATTAAATATATGATTCTAGGAATCAGTAAACTTAGCCCTGACAGAGAGCAAGAAGAGAATCTTCTAGTAATTAATTACAGGTATTTATATAGTGCCGACAATATGTAATGAAATCACTCAAAAGTATCCAGACTTGCACTATTCTACTTAGGGTAACTCTGCTGCCAGATAACAGAGCATCCTGCTTCCTGACCTTCTAGGGAAGTACAGAAATTGCCAAGATGGATACTTTCTTAGAAGAAGAAAAAAGAGCGGGTGCACTCGTGTGTAGGATCCTCATTGTTTAAAGTGGGGAACATTTGATGAAAGGATTATAAGCAATACTTGAGTGTAGATGGGAAACAGTGGAAATATAAATGTCACACTAACAATGTTCAACATAAGGATAAGGAGTTGAAAAGTACTCCTCGAAAAGTAAAGCGGGACTGCACTAGAAGGGGAACTATGTGAAATCCCTATGAATCCAAACAACCCTAAAAGAGGTAAATGGGGGAAGAGATTTCCTATACTCAAGGTGTGTAGACAGTACAATCTTTGGCTAAGCAGGAACTACAAGAGTTTAGGACACAGACTATGTAGAGAAGGTTTTATAAGTACCTCATGAAGAGAATGCCAGGTAAAAAGGGGGCACTACTCCTATGTCAAAAGTTCACACAGTAATCAGTGTTGTGGGTAGGGTGCAAATCTACTAGAGTACACTGAAGACTCAGTCTCTTGCAAAGCAAGGGGAGCAGTAAGAAGTGATTCCCGTCTAGGAAACACACCCTAATTGATTCCCATGTAAACTCTGTATATCTTGTGAGCAGATAACCTCCTGTGCTCTCTGCCTGTAAACAAATAAGGGTTATATAGGGATGTGGAGGAGATGAGATGTTTGAATTCTTTGTAATGCATCAGAAATGAAGTAGGCAGGACTGACAACACGTCCTTTGAAATTCAGAGCCAAAAATAAATTGATGGGAATTTATAAACACTGGAACAGACAAAATCTGCAGCAGCTGTGCATGACAACTAATCAGCTTCTATCTTTCATTTTCAAAGTTTAACTGAACAAACTAAAGAGAGAAGCTGATTGGTTACTATGGCCAATTGCTCCAGATTCAGTCTGTTCCGGTTTTGATCAATTCTCCCTTCTGTGTTGCCATGTCAAAGTGGAAGATAAGAGCACACTTTATTTCTGGCACATCGATAGTTATTTTTCTGTACATGCAGCAAGGTAAAAGGGATAAAACATGGGGAAATGTGTATGTATCGCAGAGATGTACAAAACATGTTTTTTCTTTGCCATTTTGCTGTGACATTATTACTCAACTATACGGACTACGCAGAAGACGACAAGGTTGTCAGTTTATGGATCTCATTTTAAAAAAGAGAAAAACTGGAATCCTCCTTTAATCAATGCCATAGGGGGCATTTCTTGTAGAAATGTTCCCATGTTCCAGCACTTATTTTAGTCTACACTTGTCAAGTAAATGTGGAAAAATATACTCTGCTTTTTATTTTTTTAAAGATATGTCAGGCACTAATGTTAATAGTGAATTTCTTTCCTTCTTTGATCGCAACGTAGTTTCAGCATTCCAAATGCCAAATGGCTACAGTTATATTAAGAACAATGAGAAATCTGCCAGATGTGACACTTGTACAGAAAAGGGAAGCAAGAGTTATATACATGGCAGAGCACAGAGGAAGTGCAGAAGTCAATAGCTTGCAGCTAGTCCATTTATAGCTTTTTTTTTCACTTCCACTCATGTCTGGTGTGCAGATTATTACAATAATAATACATGAAGCTGTTGGCTGCTCTTTTCCTTAAAGTGTCCCACATACAGTAGAAGCAAGTGCAATATCTTTAAAGTGAAGGTAGATTAGAAGTATTTTGCAACATGCAGGCAACTTCCTTTAGGCCTGGTTCACAGGCTGCAGTCGCCCTCTGAAAAGCCGAGAAGCAGCTGTCTGGAGTTCAGGAAGTAATACTGCCACCTCTTGTATGCAGGTTTTTTTTAAAATCCTGATAGGGATCATCTACTGCAATACCCTATTTTTGCAATTGTCGCATCTGACAAGCGGCACCATGACATGCTGTATATTTTTTGCATCACCATGACACAAAGCATCACAGTTGTGTCAATGTTTACATCACTGTTCGGCCGCTGTGCTACCATTGCAGCGGGTGGATGGGCAGGGGTAAAACTGCAGATCAACCGCATAGTTTTACCGCCCCCTCTTGCTCCCTATGTAAACGTGGCACAGAAGAATAATGACAACCCCCATCTAAAAAAGTAATTATACATCAAAAGACAGCACAGCAAACTTACATGCAGGTAAAATAAGTTACTTGCACGGGGATGTTTACATGCGTATTTGTGAATGTAATAGCAGATCATTTATATAACTGTAATGTAAATGTGGAGAAAATATAAATGAAAGGCACAAGAAATAAAAAAAACAATTCATACTGATTAGCATTATATTATTTTTATGTTTACGGACTGTTCTAACTACAACACTGTCACAGAAGCTTCTCCTCATATCAGTGACTAGGTTAAAGAGGATTTGCATGTGTTTTAGGCCACATCAAACTTGTCTATTTTTGCATTTTGTTCCATTAAATTCAACGGAAATACATAACACATGTCAATGCGTGTTGTAACACACGCTGATGGACATAAATGCATATTAAGGCCTCCGTCACACAACCGTATTGATTTACATATTGATTTGATACTGAAGTTGTCTGTACACATGTAACATCTGTGCTAACGTTTATAAGTATAGAGTGTAAATGTACCGTATTGGCGGCCGCCATTGCTCCGGGCTGACATGTAAATATCAACAATGTGTAGCCAGCTGCACCGCTGCTGCTAAACACAAACTATTGATGTCTACATGTACGGTGGCATCACATCAGCAGCATGACTAAAGGCAGAGATCATTCTGCGCATGCGCCACTTCCACGTGAGGATTCATTTAGGGTCCACATGTAAACATCAATAATGCGTAATCAGGAGCAGCGGCGCTGTTGATATTTACATGTCGGCCTTTAGCATCAGCAGCAGGCAATAGGTTTCATGTATGCGGAATGCTGTACGCACGTAAATGTTAACACACACATTTACTTGCGTACAATCCATGACCAAAATATGGTCCCAGACGCAGCTTTGTACTTTCTTTTTGTACGCTGTGGAACACAGTGCAACTGTATCCTTCCACGGCCTTCAATACTCCTGTGTA